ACCACGCTGCCGTCAGGGGACGGGTGCAGCACGACGGGCGCGTTGTCGTTCTCATCCCGCACCAGCACGCGCAGCACTGCCTGGGCGCTGAGAGGTGGCGAGCCCCCATCGGCAGCGCGCACTGTCACCTCAAAAGCACGCACCTCCTCGTAGTCCAGCGGGCGGAGGATGTAAACATCCCCGTTTTCAGAGTTGACCATCACGTCGGGCTGCTCCTTGCCCTCCTGCCGCACCAGCGCGTAGTTTATGCGGGCATTTTTTCCTGCGTCAGCATCCGTAGCATTCATGCTGCCGATCCGGAGCATGGGGCTGTTGTTCTCTGTGACCGACATGGTGTAAATCTCCTGGGTGAACTCTGGGGGATTGTCGTTCACGTCCAATATCTGCACGAAGATGCTTTCCCGAGAGCTCAGCCGCGTAGTGCCCCAGTCCATGGCCGTGATGGTGATGTTATACTCTGCCGTCCTCTCCCTGTCCAGTGCCGCGTTTGTTCTCAGTTCGTAGTAATTATCAAAAGTGGGGGTGAGACTGAAAGGCAAGTCCCCGTCGATCGTGCACTCTGTCCTGCCGTTGTCCCCGGAGTCCCGGTCCCGCACACTGAACAGGGCCACCACGGTCCGGGGCGGGGCATCCTCGGGAATGGAGGCGGTGAGGGAGGTGAGTGCTATCTCCGGGGCATTGTCGTTCACGTCCAGGACCTCCACCTGCACATTGCAATGAGCAGACAGCCCCCCGCCGTCGGTGGCTTTCACCACCATCTTGTGGTTTTTTGCTTCTTCAAAGTCCAGGGTGCCCGCGACCCGTATCTGCCCCGTGGCAGGGTTCAGCTCGAAGAGCTGCCGGGACTGTTCCGATGTCTGGGTGAAGGCGTACCGCACTTTCCCGTTGGACCCTTCGTCGGGATCCGTGGCCGTGACTCTGACCACCAGCTGCTCCAGGGGGCTGTTCTCGGCCAGGCGCACCTCGTAGATCTCCCGACCGAAGACCGGGATGTTGTCATTGGCGTCCAGCACCACGATCCGGACCTGAGCCGTGCCCGACCTGGGAGGCGAGCCGCCGTCGGTGGCGGTGAGGAGCAAATTCAGCTCTCGCTGCTCTTCACGGTCCAGCTGCTGCTCTAGGACGAGCTCCGCGTATTTTACTCCATCTTTCCCTGTTCCGAGAGCAAGGGAGAAATGCGAATTGGACTCGAGGCTGTAGTTCTGCAAGCCGTTGCTGCCCACGTCCTTGTCCTGGGCGCTTTCCAGAGGGAAACGGGACCCGGGAGATAACGTTTCAGGAATCTCTAAAAGCATGTCCTTCTCCGGGAACACGGGGGAGTTGTCGTTCACGTCACGAACCTCCACCTCCCCTCGGATCAGCTGCAACGGATTTTCAAAGAATATCTTAAAGAAGAGCGTGCAGGTATCGCTCTGCGGACAGATCTCCTCTCGGTCCAGCGACCTCTTTGCCGTCAGGACTCCGGAGTTTTGATTGAGGCGGAAAAGCTGCTCGTTCCCCTCGGACACAACGCGGGCCTTGCGAGCCGCGAGCTGGCTCGGAGCAACCCCCAGGTCCTTTGCAATGTCGGCGACAAAAGAGTCCGTCTCCATTTCCTCCGCCAGAGAATAGCGGAGGGTTTCGGCCCCGCTCTGACACACGCAAACGCACAGAATAAACAAGATCACTTGCCTCTTGCTGCCTCCGCACGCCATCGCTCTCCAGAAAAGCCACCCACCGTCCTCCGTGGTTCCCAGCATCTTTAAGCCGCGGCCGAGCGGTGTTTGTCAGGAATCCCAGGCTAAGGGGCTCTGAAAGCCCCCGAGCACCCCACGCCGTGCCCCGCCGCCCTTCTCGAGCAGCTCACACGGCTTTTTTTTGTCTCCCTGTGCCTGGAAACCCGGGGCGGGCAGAGGAATTTGCCGGTCCGTGGCCAACATCCCCACCCAGCGTCGCAAGGGGGAATATTTCCTCTGCCTTCCCACTCGGGGCAGAGCTGCTGATTCGGAGCCTGCTGCCTGAATCTGCGCTCTCCCTGCCACACCGAAGCCAAAAAGCGCGGTGTAAACGCTCTCCTCGCTCGGAAAGCAGGCTCCCTCCCCGCATACAGAGCGCTGCTCTGGGTGCCGCTTCCCCGTCCGCACCCGCGCACCCTTCATACACAGCTCTTGGTTTCCCTCTGCGTCGTGCAGGCGTTGCGAGCTCCGCCGCTTCCACGGGGGGCCTTGCGGGATTCTCCTTCTCTTCTCCACTTGTTAACCAGGCCAGTTAGCAAATGGGGCGGAATGGAGAAGCACCGCTATTGAATACGGAAGGGACCACGGGAAGGTCCCGACAGCAAATCTTTCATCATCATCCTAGCATGACAATGCTGTCCCAGGACACATCATCCGTGTTCTTCACACCTCGCCCAAGGGCCACACAACTTTAACGTTTTCCTGCGAAAAGTGTTTTTCTCCTCAATCTCCAGGAGCACCCTCCCTCTCCTGCTGACGCACCCGTGGTAAGGTGTCACCGTATGACGCATTCGTGCAAAATGTCCCCAGGCGTACGCAACCCTCGAAATGCCACAGCCCGTGTTCATGGTTTGAGGGTCCTTTCTCCTCTGATGTTACCGCACAGGCTTTAAAGGTCCCCGTACTCCGAAGTCAAACCCGAACTCCTGTAGCTGTGTAAGCACATAGGGCCAGCAGCGATTTAACAGAGAGGGCAAGGAACCAAACAGGAGAGCTCCTAAGGAAACCCTCAGATACACAAACGCTAACGAGCAGGAGCTAACGGAGGCAATAGCAAAGCCCAGGGCTCTAACGACGCTGATCAATGGGCCATTAAAGGAACCATTCAAGTGTAAACTCCAAAGCCTTCAACCAGAAACTTTGTAAACGATAAGGGGGAGGGGGGCGGGGGGGGGAAATTATCGCGGATGACCAAAAAGAGTCTCATAGGAAAGAGCAAACTGATTACGAGATGTTTGAGTGGGGATCTAGGAGTATGCAGAGCTTGTGATGGGATGTTTAGAGGCAGGGTCAGAGTCGGTAAAAGGGATAGGAGACCGGATAAAAACCCCAGGGTCAGGCACTCATCGCCGGCCCTGAGAATCGACTTAATGTCGCGACTGCTTCTGCAGACCCAACATTGCACACGCAATGCACTGGAGATGCGCAGAGCTGCCTCAAAGTCCAGTCTTCCTCTTCGAGAATAATAATAAAAAGAAATGGAGGAGAAAACAAAAGACAGCTTGCACTACGAATTTTTTCTTCAAGCGATTCTAATTCAGCTTTCACTCTAGGAGGAACCATGCTCTTTTTCTATACAGCAAGTGTCCCAACCTCTTTGGATTTGACACCTTTCCTCTAACTTCCTAGGTGTTTCCCCCTTATTTTTGTTTGCTAAAAGGGCTGCCACTCTCAAAAAAATACTCACCGGGTGAAGTCCTAGAAATTCGCGGGGGCCTTCATTTGTTTTAAAATAAAAACGTCGCGACTGTATCAGTAGGGGAAAGTAACAACCAGGGTTGACTTTGGGATTTCCCAGAAGTTTTAACTCCTAGAGGACTTTGCACGGATGCAGCCGGTTTTTTGTGATTTGCTCTTATTGCCCTCGGACTCGGAAGCATAACAGAATCTAAACGGCTAACGTAGCCAAAAACCAGCTCAGCTCTTTCTTCCTTTCTTCCCTTCCAGGGACGTGTCTATCTCTCGATGTTCTATCATTCCACTCACACAAAAACTTGATGTAAAACCAACCGCAGGCCATGTACAGCAGGAGATGTGTTGGGAACGTGGTTTCTCTCCTCATTCGTGTCCCATGCAAAAATAGCAGTGGCACCTGGAATCCACTTGCTTTGTGCCCTCGCCAGTGCTCCTGCTCCGCTCTTGGCACCTCTGAAAGAGGAGGTTTGATTCTCTGGAACCTAATCCTTGGTACCACGACACAGCAGGGAACAGACACAAGGTGAGAAGAGCTTCCACGGACACTTCCCACTCCAATATCCCTGTCACTCCCCTCATTTCAGAAGGGCAATGGTGTCCTTCAGCTTCAGGAGCAGGAGGGTGTAAGACGAAGAGTGATCCATAACGGAGCTCTTGGCTATCATAGTACTGTTGCACATCAGAAGATGCTGCTCTTAGACAGAAGCTCATGTTTTTTCAGATTTTAGAGAAATGTGAAATAAAGAAGGTCACTTACCGTGCACCATTGGGTAGCTAATGCCGGTGGTTTCCGTTGGGTCACAACAATAAAATGGATGTGTATGAGTGGAAAAAAGAAGTATGTATATTGCCAGGAGAAGGCATTTCTGGTTTAGGACAGGCTAAGAAACTGTAATAAGAATATAATTCACATAACTGTGTCAGAGAATTCACTTATCTCCTTGAGTACATACTGGTGTTGCAGACTTCCTCATTTCTTGGGTTAGCGATGGCGTCTGTGTCCTGAGAAGGCAGCTTAAACCAACCAAAACCAGGTTTCCTCTCTATTCTGAGATTTACATCAGTGCTAGGAAAGAGCCACAGCACCATATCCTGCTCGGTTCCTGGTATGGCTCCTTATTTTGGAACACAGTGTTCTTCGTGTAATTCTGCAGCCTGAGCAATCTCAGTTTCCGTCTTGGTCTTCCAGCTGGGAATTCAGATCTGCAGAGCGAAAACTCAGAGGCCCCATGCCGAGGTTTTTTCCTACCTGGCCAAAGGCTTCTTCCCCATCCCTGGAGCCACTGCCCATCCACCTCCAGCACACCCTGCGGCTTGGCAGGAGCGGTTGCCTGCAGATCAAAAGCACAGACGCTTTCCCGAGTCACTGTGGTTTCCATGCCCGAGTGCGAAGAGGGACCAACGTTCCCGTCCTCTCCTTCCCAGCCAGCTCTCAGGACGGATTTCAGATTTCTTTGCTTGCCTGTAGCACTCAGCCAGAGCCTGAATTCCCAGTTCTCCAGCGGAACTGCTGCCCTGAGCTGGCCTCTGGATGCAAACGTGAGGAAAGCCGGGAGAATCCTTCCCAACGTTCTGGCTTTCCGTTTTGCTTTAAATGCCACTGGTACGTATCCTATTCGCCGTTCATTTTCCGAGAGATAAACCGGCCTCCTCTCTCTGTCTGCGTTCAGTCCAGTTGATGCTTGCCCCATCGCTCTGATAAACGTCAGCATTTTTTTCTCGCGGTATTAAGTCGGTGCTTACCAAGCAACGGGCTCGACTTGAGTCACCCCAGACCTGCGGCGAAATCCTCCCAAATCTCCCAAGGGTGGAGTGTAGCATCAGCGGGCTGGGGAGAACGTCTCCCTCCTTCACATGATCCCCGATTCTGCCTTGTGCTCTTGGCGCTTCTCGGTGGGGCAATTTCCAGCGCATCCCTTGGAAAGGCTTTGAACTAGGGCGTATTCCAGTGCAACCGGGACATTTCGGCTGTGCTCTCAGCTGATGTCAGCCGTGCACCACCTGACTGGTGCTCACTGGTCCCTCCCTGCTTGGGAGCTTGGGAGCTCCCCGCCCAGCAGCAGCAATACCCGCACAGCGCTGGCCAACAGCGGCACTGGGCGTCCACCGCAAGAACTGCACCGGGGCGCCTACCCCCGCGGCTCGGCACGCATCTCCTTCCCTTAGGCTCTGGCTGTTGCTAGGGCAAATTAGGAAACACATCTCCCACCTGAAGTCTATGGCAAATAAACGCACTTTCTCAGCAATTAGCGAGGCATTTGGTTTGGCACTAATAATGCGGGCCAGTATGGGACGCCTCGAAGGCATCGTCTACAAACCTTCCATTAAACACGCTTAACAAAGATGGAAGCTATGGGCAAATGTAGCAAGCATTGCTCCCGCGTTGTGCACTACATCTTCCAGAAGTCAGAGAGACAATGGAGGTGTTTTCAAGCACAGGCTGGTTTCTATTTCACAAGGAGATCTTCAACTGTTGTATGTCCTCTCCTAGAGTAACCTGAAGTTAAGAACCAATTCATTATTAAAAGCAGCATAAACCTCCACCAACTCTTGGAGCAGTTTCAATGGATTTACAAGGAATATCTCAAAGAGGTGCAGGTATCTCTCCACAGACAGATCTCCTCTCAGTCCAGTGACTCCTTTGCTGTCAGGACTCGGTGTTTTGACTGAAGTGGAAACATTGCTTGTTCTCCTTGGACACAGTGTGGACCACATTTCCTCCTAGGTAGCAGCACTTCCTTTCTACTAACATCCATTCTAAAATGTTCCTTTCTACTAAGTTCCGTTCTAAAATCTCCCCTGCATACTTTGCAACTTCAAAGAATAAAGGGAAATTCCCTGCTTCAGAAGCCTGAGGTCACAAACTTTCTCAGAGCCATTCCGTACTCTCCACTCTCCAAAGACAATGCTGGACAGAAGACACCTTCCAGATGTCTACTCAGACCTTGTCCATCCTACATCTCTGAAGACAAGGAATTCTTGCTCTCTTCTCTTGAGCCATGACAATCTCAGTACTTCTCATTTGAAAATAAATCCTTCTCAGCTTCAACACTTTGCTACTACAAATGCCTTTGAAGCCAAATAAGCAATTACTCTCACCTTCATAAACTTTGTGCTCAGTGGGATCCAGTTTTTCCATCCTCATCCTCACTCCTAGGTCAAACATGCAGCAGACAATTTTCTTCAGAAATCCCCGGAACCACGTGCTTTGTTACATCGTGAGGTCTCAAATGGCCCACAAATAATATTTTAATTTCTAGCTCTAAGTTTATGTATTTTGTGGGGGAAAATGTCATCTATTGAGGTCTTTTTCATTTTCTTGTGTCCAG